ACACAGTACTTGTCACAACCAGTGCTTTGCACAGTTCCTCACCTTCTATTACACTCAGACACCTTAGTCACATTTCCACAAGCATCTATGGGGATGATTCAAAGTGGTTTGTGCTCCTGTTTTGCCACAACAAAAGCTGAGCAATCTCATTACAGACCCTTGGACCATTTTTCACAAACTGCAAATCAAGCAAACCAACATCTGACTTTGGGAAAGCTGAGCATATGTTTCTGGGACAACCAGGGTCTGACATCCAAACAGTTAGGTCTCACAAACCAGAGGCTGAAACATGCTACTAGGATCCAATTATAACAGTCTTTCTAGATTCCAAACATAGGTAATACTGGACTTCTTACCCTGGTACAGATCATTGACTTCAGTGCAGCAGTTTTCCCCTTCACCCTCAGGGTGTTACTACATTCTGCCAGCTTTGCTGTGCACACAGAGCTCCAACTGCTGTAAGGGTTCTTTTTCCTTCAGCCACCCACTTTGTGTGTAATTGCTCAGTAAATTTTCCTTAACGTACGTACTATGCAAACTCTTCTCTAATCTTCTGGTAACTCCCTAGCTAACAGTAACTTTTTACAAGATATTCTAGTTCACAAACTACTTTTAAATATCAAAGATAAGACACATGGGAAAGGATTTACGTATTCAGATTATCCAAATAATAACTTACCTGAGTGGGATCTGGGAGGATCAAATCCCAGTTTTTAGGTAAATGTTTATGAAGAAATGTTTTCCCCAAGGAGTGGTTACTGGAGTTCAACCTCTGTGATTTCAAGTCAACAGAAATTATATGTCCCAACAAGGGGCCAACTTCCATCTATAAGGTGTACAAGATCTTCATTTGCCAAGTGCTTGAGCAAACTTGTTTGTATGGATCGCATCTGAACTTGACAATACTAATGTTTTCATAATTATAGCTCTTTAATGCATGAAGCTGATACATCTAAACCAGTGCAGCTGCAGAGCTTTAAGATTTAGGTGCCATACCCTTCTTTAAGGAGAAAAACTTGCAGAGACCTGTGTGTGCTTCTTTAAACACCAAACTTACTAAGAGCAATCTCACCAAGGTCTAAAGCATGAAACTACATGAAAGCTTAAAATTGAGATCTTACAAGACCAAATACACTTGGCTCTTTGGTAAGCAAGAAAACCCCAGCTGCTACTAAGCTCCATTGTGTCTGGTGATCTTAGAAGTACCTTCCAAACTTAATGATTCTATAATTCTGTGTCTAAAGCCTGATCAATTCCAAACAATTCCCCATGAGTTTGGGCAGAGTAAAACAGCATCCTAAGGAATGTGTTGAAACCTCTTCATCTTGGAACATTTCTAGAACTTCTCTCTATTTTCATGACACAAACTGCAGAGAAAAAATACATGTCTCTACACTGCTGGAGAGATGAAACGGAAGTTTCATTAGATTTTTCCCTCATCTCTAGCTTTATTTAATTCCATAAAATCTCTCAGAGTTATTGTTATGCACCTACCACACAAAAGTGTTTCAAGGATAACTGATATGCCTGCATAGTGCTTTGAGGACATAATGTACCATATGACTGCCAAGTATTAATAAATGAACTGCAGGAAGAAATCTTATTTCAACTTTCCACCCAAGGAGTTAGTATCTGCATTTTAAAAAGCATATGGATCCACTGAAAATAGATGTCTTAGAAATTAAGGAAAAGATGCCAAATGACAAAATTACAAAACCAAAATATATCCAGAATAATTTAATTTTTCTCTCAGCAAAGTGCAATTCTAGCAGAAGAATCCTGGTTTTACCACAGTCCTGGTTTTTACATTCTCTTTTCCAGCTGACTTGACTGAAGTGCAGACCATTAATATCTGAAGTGCCTTGTTTTGATTATATTGGCCTTTGCTGGTACCAATCTAGTTAAGGTATCACCAAGAATTTCCAGCATAAAACACATTTACAGGTTTATAACTTGGCTTTAAAAATTCTACTACAAAAAGACAGTGGGAGGCAGAAAGGCTCAGATGAGTGCATTGCATTACATTACATATCCTACGTGATCCATACTTGCTCACAATGCTATGAAAAAGGGAGGCATTAGCTTTAACTCTGAATTACCATGTTTCAGAAGTCACCTGAAATGATACTTTTACTTCCCTGTTTATGCAATCAAAATAATGTTTTGTAAGTGCTTTACCTAATTAGCTTAACTTGCCCAGTTTCATAGTTTGGCTTAAATTATTCAAAGTGTCCATATAATAGAGGAATTAAAATGTCATGTCTGTTGACTGTATTTATACACAAATATTTCCCCCTTTTCCCCTTCAGAGAGTCAATTGTGGCTTGTCTCCAAAGGGTCAGCATCTAGGTGATGGGATGTTACAGACTGCTATCAAGTCAAAAGCTTAAATGAAGATCAACGCTGAATAAACCACCTGTATCTTCTACAAAAAGACAAACACCTAAACAGGAAAGAGCTAGAGTAAAGAGAACAATGCAGGTTACTTAAAATGCCAGTCTTAAAGCAACATGTATTTCTGGCCATAGGTATTGTATTTCCTCTAGCCCACATAAGTACGCAATACAACTCTCCACTGCAGCACAGCAACATTAAATATATAAACCTGACATTAAAGGGCAGAGGATAATGGCATCAGTGTGGGCAACCCATGCTTAGGTAATGTTCAACTATTACCTCCAGTTTAAAAAGGCTGAAAATACGCAAATGCAGCCAGTACTGGTTTTAGATAAAATTGTCGGTTTTATGGATATTTATAGTATGTGTCCAGTCTTGCAGAACTCCATCTTCCTCCACCTCATCTGTAATATAAACTGCTTTTAGTCCACATTAATACAGTGTGTTACTGGGATACTTCTCACATTCTGTATAAGTCAGGCAACAGATCAATACTCAGCCATGCTGAGAAAAAAAAAAAATCATTAAGTTAGGATCCTGTTAAAAATACAGACAACAGGAGAATAAACCTGATGAACAGCCCCCATTCCATTTGGATGCATATATAGATTATGCTTTTACATACATCAAAAGTGGCTTTCTTTTCAATACATAGTTTTAAGGAATCCTACAGGTTGTAGGATTCCTATACCAAATCAAACTCACCTCAAAAAAAATTAACCTCTCTGCTTCCCATGAAAGCTCTTTCCAGCCTTTATATCAACTGCCTTACCCTTACACTTCCTGTGGCGAAATCACAGCACGAAATTGGAATAGCAAAGCTATTTCCACGACAGTATCTGATGATGACAAGCACAGGTTTATAACTTTTCCTTGGATCAAGAAGTAAGAAGATTGAGATAGACATTAGAACTAATATCAATAAACTGAAAATCAAAGGGAAAGCATGCTTACAAAAAATATATTTTTTCAAAAAGTGCAAGTTCTTTTATTATTTGAGGTTGCTTTGTGTAAAGGCTCCTTAGAAATTTTACTGTGCATTTTAGGCTTTTTTACCCCTTGGTATTTTTCAGTCCAAAAAACATATATTCCACCTGCATCAGAGCACTGGCAATATAAGACTGGTCTGTTTGCCTCAGAAGTAAAAGGAAAACAGAACAGCCACACAATTCTCTTCCTATTGTTCTCCCAACACACATAAGAAACAGAAACTGATGCCATGCCCCATAGGTCAACAAACTTGAGCTCTGTGAGACAATAATTGCAGAGTTTAGATTCCTCTGAGACACCTTGCCTCCGGCTCAGCAAAGTTTAAATCAAGAAAACATAAGCTTCAGTGTCTCAACTGACCTTCACTAGAGTGGACTTGAGGAGAGCAAGAGAGAAACAGTCTCTCAGAAAGAAGCTCCAAAGCACACTTCACCTTTGTGGCACATCATTCAAAGAACTCATTCAAAGAAATGGTTTGCATATATAATTTAAAACTTGATGCCCATCTTCTAATAGATGTTCAAGCTCTGCTCAGTTTCACAGAAGTCAATATAAGTTGACAGCAGTAAGCAGCTTGCACAAGCAAGTTACTACTGCTTATAAGATACTGACACAACAGGGGACAATCCAAACCATCCTGTTAGCACCTTCAATGAAACTCTCATATTTTAAGGGGATTTGCTGATGCAGCTTTTCATTCTCACACTCTGCTCAAGTGACTTGGCTCTTTGTTTATGTTGGGCTCACGGCACCACCTTGAAGATCCCTTCATCACCATGTTTTGTCATTTCACAACTGCAGTTGCCATGACAACGGGATGCAGCTTATCTGTGCTGTTTTCATATTTCCAGTTTTTGTTGCCATAACAACACATTCTGGCTTTCTACAGAAACAGCAACTTTAAGTCATGTATTCTCAAGGACACAGGACTCATCATATATGTATGTTCATCAGAGAAGAGATCTGTACAGGCCATTTGTAAATTAAGCGATTTTTTCTGAAGGGGGATTTTTCACTCACAAAAGTGAAAAGCTGACAGCAATTGCTAGAGGCAGACTGCTGAGACATCTAAAGCCTGGCCTTTAATAATAGCCAGAGTAATATAGCACTAGGCCACTTCCGAGTGGGGACTCCCCACAGTGTCAGACTGTGTCAAACTGCACAATTGTTATGTGATGTGAGTAAGTGTCCATACTTGATTCACCCAGGCAGATTTGAATTAGATGCTAGATGCAATCCTCTTGAGTTTTAACCCAGTGGCCTCCCCATTATTACCAGCACCACCACCATGCAGCTTTGTGTTTGAAGGCCCATTTTAATTCTGTAATTCAAGCTGTTGTTGTAGATTTGTTTTCAGACTCTGACCCTCTTCGCTTCCAGGTGACTGCATTTTGAACTTTTATTTACAGGAAGTGCACATTCATCAGACTGGTGAGAAAATGTTATACAAACACAGCATGCATAAACACAAAACAGTGATGGCTATGAGGGGTATCAGCTAACATGGCACTGTAACTTCATTACACCCTCATTTATGTACTTCACTAATGAGACAAGCACAGGTGTCCAACACGGTCCCTCACATGAGATGAATAACAATAATACAGTCCAACCTGCTTTAGCCATGCTTGGTATCCAGAAGATATAAGCTGAAATCCATCTTTTGGCATGTGTATTCGGGGCTAGGAGAGAATAGACATAAAGAGAGACCTCCTTTTACACTGGGACCTAGCTAACCTAAGTCTAAATTCTGGAGCATTTTAAACAATGCAGATTTTTTAAAGGCACATACGAAGATTTAGACCCCAGATTAGTTCTTGTTTACTGCTCTGATATCAGCTGCTTTAAGAACACTTTTTAATAAAGTCACCGTTTTTCTGTTTTTCAGTTTTACATTTCAGTTCAGTATATATAGGTATTTATTTTTAATTTCCACAAAAATGTGCTTGGATAAGCACAGCCTCTGTGGTGGGTGCAATAGCAAAGACTAATGGTCATTAATGCTTTTGACATTACATAAAAAGCAAATGGTGTCAAAACAGCAGTAGTCAAGCTATGAGTGCTTTCACAGTTACCATCCTCAACATGGTCAGAGCAGACACTGGACAACATGAAGAGATGACAGAAAATTCCTGAAGAGGTGCAGCCTTAATACCACGGTAACAGGTTACTGTACTTACACACAGCCATAAATTATGCCTCAAATCAACAGACAAATATAACCTCCCCCCTCATTTACTGTTTTCATGCTTTATTGGATTGAAGAAAAGCCAAGACATCAAATTGCTCTAGAAGCACAAAACATATATAGCATAACTTACAGCTAGGAAAAAACATGCAACAAACCCCAAAACATTGTCTAACGTGACATTTATTTGTAGTTCAAAGATACTTCCATATTCAAGTGGATTCAAGTGTTCCCCCTCCCCCTCAAAACAAGGAGACACTTAGAAATTAAAATCATATCTAAGCAACAGGACCAGACAGAATATCCACAAACAGCAAGCCTAGAGACTTCTCTTACTCTCCGAAACTACTTCACAATTCCTTTCTTAACTTACAGTACTTCCCCTCCAAATCAGATGTGTGCCCCTACCATTCCTCCTGGAAGGCTGGAAGAAGCTTACTCATTTTATCACATCTGTGGTGGGCATTTAATAAAGAAATAATAATACATATAATAAATATATAAAAATAATATATATTAAATATATATTAAAGAAATAAAATTATTAATAAAATAAGGACTAGAACAGACTAAAATCTTGCCTCTAAAGAGAAGTACACACTCAGGATTTTACAGTATACTTTGAGCACTTGTTATTTTTGCTTCTCTCCAGTTTGAATTTAAATCCTCCTAAATCTTTCAAAGTAGTAGTAAGATTATGCCCTGGTGTCCTAGCCAATGATCTCAGTTGAACATGAATTTTAATAACCACCATTGTGCTGATAAATTAAAGTCAAGTATGTCTGGTTACTGCATTCACCTGCTGTGTTTGGACTTGCAATGCTTAACACATTAACAAACCATGTTTTAGGAGACTTCTCACACAGCTAGAAGCATCATCCTCCAACTGATCCTTCCTTCAGCACTAACATCATGGGTGGTTAGTCTCTCTACGACTGTAAAATGGGGACAACACTCATTTAACCCACCTCACAGGTTTGCTAAGAGGAGCTCTTGACATTTCCATGTGCTTTGGAAATGGAAGAAACTATATGAAGTGCTGCATATCTAGCAAGAACAATATAGAAATACACATTTTACTTTTGGCTCAAGTGCTTCAGTTTCTTTTTCAAAGAAGCACAGCCCAGTATGTATCTATTCAGGAAATAAAAATAAGAGCCCTCATAAACTAGCAGAAATAACAATCACTTGAAATTGGTTTCAGAAGAAGAGAGACCTGAATACCACTCTCAGATGTGCCCAAGTTCACAGAACAAATTGTTGTGATGATAGAAACAAATTGCATTCACAACAAATTGTGAAAAATTACTTCATTTCTTTCTGTCACCTAACCTACAAATTAAAGGATAACAGTCAAGCTATTCAGACCAGCAGGCTTCTTAACATTTGCTAACCCATCAGTCCAGAGCAGTCTGAATAATTGATTTAAGACACTGACTTGAACCATTTCATTTGAAGACCCCGGTCCTGCAAATATGTAACTGTATTAACAGATCTGTTACCAGTAACAGGATTACTCTTCAGCAGAAGTGTTTTCAGTAGTAAAGATTACACTGTATTTCTATTTACACAATGCTTACCAACACAATTTTTTGTGATTAGAAGGTAAAGTTGTTTGAGTATTGTAATAAAAGCAATCAGGAGTTTCAGCAGATTAGCAGCTACCATAAACTCAATTTATTTTTCAATGCTGACAAGTGAAACATAAAAACAGTAGAAACTAAGACCCATCATTCATCCCTCAATACTTGCAAATATTTGCAAAATCCTCTCAATGAGCTACGTCTCCTCTGCATTTGATAAACCTACTCTCATCTAAGAAGAAATGACAGACTGCATAGAAGAGAAGCGAATTTTACCACTATAAGGTATGTGTGTCATTACCCACATACTGCCACTTATGCCATTAAAGTGGGATATGCACAAGTGAGCCCCCATTTACATCAAAATAAGCACAATAGAAAAGTATAATTTAATTAAAATTTATCAGAGTGATAATTGGTTGTAAAAGTTTAGCCAATTTCCTAAATTCTGAATTTCTGTGGTTCTATAAGGCACACTGTAAATGACCCCTAGGAATGCATCCTTCAGCAGAAAGAGGCAATTAAAATAATACATCTGGTTAAAATATTCTGAATTGCAGTATCCCAATGACAGCAGACAGGACTGTAAGACTGACAATTAAAAAAAATAAAATTGCCCCTCTTACCCTCAGCCTTAAAAAGATGTGGGGCCCAGAAAACTGTCCTGTTTGAAAGCTGTATTAATTTATAAATCAACACTAAAATCTTCCATGATTATGATCCATTCAAAGCAATTCCACCAGCAATACAATTAATTGCCCAGCAAGACCTACTCATTTTTGTATTTTCATGAGCACACATCGTTTATGCTCATGGTTCAATACCATTCATAAACACAGTATTTTCTCTTAGCATCTGCTCCAGCATTTTCCTTGACTAGAAGTCAGGCTGCTAGGGGAATTTTGCTCTTTTTCAATAGCATTGACAGTGATTGCTTTCCTCAAAAAGTAACTCTAAAAGCACTCTAACTACTCATTTCTATCATGCTATTTTGTGAATATTTCATGTTTTGGTTTAGGTGAGGGACTAATTTGTAATTTAACCTAGTCTACTTCCTTTTCCAAGACATTGATATTTACTATTGAGGCCTTGCCTTAAAAATGAGCCTTACATTACTACAAATGGCTTATTCCACAACCATCAGCACCTTACTCACAGTTCTAAAATGCAATTTTACTGCATATGAAGTCCTTACTCTCTCTCTAGTCTTTCTGGTGTCCACAGAATATGTTATCTATACATTAGCCATATATTAAAATTAAATATATTGCATATGTCTATAAACTGGGGAGCCAAAATAGCTTACTTTGCTCATTTCTTTGTCTGCAACCCCTGCCTTTTTTCCCTTTAGTAATCTACTCTTCCATTTTTAAACCATTTGATTTCTGCAGTCTCTAGCAAGGTCCAGAACAACAGAATGATTCTTGAGAACAAGTCAGTAATTTAAAATTCAGTGGTACCCTCTCCACTTCTCTACCAAGACTGATTTTCAGAGGACATTTAATTACAGGCCTGAGTTCCTATTTTCTAAGCCTAAACACAACCCCTGAAGGCTTACAAGATTTGAGTCACAGCTGGAGCTGTGGTTACTATACAGTTTAAATATCAGCCTCTTTACTGTGCAATTTGTTTCGAAAATCAAATCAGATGCTGTGTCATAAACAAGTGCTAATTAAGTACTGAGCGGAAATTGAGCTTTTTTGTGCAAGAAGGGTTCTTAAATATCTGCATCTTCACTTCCATAAGAAAGGATAAATATGTCAAGAATGATAATTATAAAAGGAAACCTACTATGGTACTTCCAAGGCAGTACTGCTGCTTCTGCATTTCATCTGCTTCCATGTAAGAAGAAATGAGGGGGGGAAAAAAGTTGAGACCTGTATGAAATATATATGTACTAAGGATCTTATTAATCTGATCATATCACCCATAATGCTTGCTGTTCCCTCAGAGAAGACATTCACTCTGGGTTTCCATCACACAGGACTTAAACAAGCAAACTAAACCCATCTCTCTCCATCACTGCAAAGCAATAATGAAGCTACTTATATTGCCATTTCTTTTAAGTCATGATCTACACACAGTACTTATTTTACAATAGCATTGAATTCATTAGATACAACACCTTGTTTGATAAATATCAAGTGAAGAACAGGAATCATGCATTTTAATACTCTGAAGGTTGCCTCTGAGTAACAATATTCACGACTCCATTAACTAACAGGCTCTCGGCTATAAAAGCAGAATTAGATCTGTCAGTCACTGACATGGAAGGGCATGGCCAGTTGCACTGAAGATTGTCCGGCTGAGATGACTTCCACAGCAAAGGAAAGTATCCCCTGTGGCCTAGAACTTGTAATGAGTTTGCATCCATTACAGCAATAAACTGAATTCCTATTACAGAATATACAACTTCATGGCCCAAACAGATCCCTGACTCTACTGCCCAAAGCAATACTCAAAATAAGGCACAGTTAGATCTCTGGACCACAGCTCAACAAAACCAAACATGATTTCAAAATATTTCATTGTTATTAGGAGAAAAACCCATGAGCTATCTGATCCTAAAAGCTTAAGTTGCCAGTATTTAGGTGTGTCCTTTGTGAGATTTTGTAGAAAGAATGAACAAACACTAAGTCAGCTGACTGTCAGGTCTCACAGTTTGATACAAACTCCTTCAGAAGGACACAGCACTCTTGAACAGTAGGCTCTGACTGCCTGTGAACTTAATGAGTTCACCGCACGTGGTGAACATGGCTACTCCAGTTCTTTAATGAATCTGCCTGAGTTCGTCAACTGAGATCTGCTCAAAACCAACTCCCACTGGAGAGTGTCTATTTATACTCCTTGACAGATAAATAGATGCAAGGTTTTTTTATATCCTGCAAGAGCAGCAGCAACCAGGT